AGGGGGGAGGGAGGGGTTTTAAATACCATGTAGTCTTGGTTAGTTTTATTTGCTTTTCTTTGGCCAGACACGATGCTGCTTCAATGCTCCCCAGGAACACGGGAGGTTGTTTTAGGGACAAAAAGTACACAGCAAGTTTTAGAATTTGGAGCAAGTCTAGCTGTACCTCCGCCCTGGAGAAGCTCCGAGGCGTCTGTTCTGTTCCTCAGCGAGAATTCAGGAGCAGGAGCCATCACGTCAAAGACTCTGTCCTTAGGAAGTCCAACCATTAGTCAGCGATGGTAAATGTCTTTAACAGAATCAAAGTTATCTGCTCTCTAAGCAGAGAACCAGATATTTCATCCCACCCCCCGTTTCTATCAACATCTCGAATCTTCAATCCTGTTTGGAAACATGACTCAGTCTTAACAATGTGGCCAGGAAACCAAATGCAGTAAAATGCATTTTCGTTTTACTTATAAACATTTGTCGTTGGCTAATTTCTCCCCTGACCAGGAAAAAAAAAAAAATTAACCTTAACAGAGCAGTTGGATTTTTAAACCTCTGTGTACCGCCGACCGGGGAGGTGCCTCACAAGACCAGAAAACAAAGCCACAATGTCTTTGAAGCAGTCGTATTTGTTTCCCGAAGCCGCCCTGATTTCTCACTGTGGGTGGCGGCAGAAGAAAACATCTGGAGAAAGTCGTGGGGTTTCACATCTGTTCGTGTCTAGGCCAACAAGCAGCTATTCCCTTCTGGGTCGAACAAATGATCCTGAAGTATGTCATCCCCCCGAATGAGCAAGTCTCATGGGCAATGTGCTCAGAATGTAGATGCAGACCTAGGTTAATCCGTCTACTCCATGCCGAACGTTACCCGGAAAATAAAACTCCCCTCTAGGCCCCAGAGGTGAGTCCTCGCTGGCCTTCAGTGCCTGCCTGGATGTGCTCAGTGTTTACCACAGGCTTTGGCTTCATGAGAGGGTTCAATGTAAATATGTGATTAATGTGTCATGAACGTGGGCTGAGTTCAAGGTTACCTGCTGCTGGAAGAGTTTCCAATGTGAAGCAAAGGGGTCAGACAGCACTACTGTGGTTACCGGAGGGAAGGGGCCCGAACATACGGTGACAGGAGGCTTGACTTGGGGTGGTGGGCACAGTGCAGCACACAGATCATGTCTCGTAGAATCGTGCACTTGAAAGCTGTATAATCTCATGAACCAGTGCCACCCCAATACATTCAATTAAACAGATAAAAAATAAAATAAGAAACGTGCTAACCGTTTCAGAACAAAACAGAAGGGCCTCCGTTTTAAGCAAGGGGAGTTCTGAGTTCATTTAGCAAAGCACTTTAACTGCTTTTAATGGAACTTGATGGCTCTCCCTGCAAAAAAATTAATAAAAATAAGTTTAAAATGTGAAAAGGAACGTGTGAGAAAGGCGTTTATGGTACAGATAAACCATCAGACGCTTAAAATAGAAAGTTACAACCTTAAAGCAGGAAGAGAGAGAGAGAAGGAAGCAGGGAGGGAGGGAGAACTCGAAAAGGAGTCAAGTTCTTCTTATGAAGAGTGCCTGGTATTTTATTTTCAGTTTTGCCGATGTCGACCAAAACTTTTATCTTAAATACCATCTGTTCTATCATCTCCAGGGCTGTAAATAGTGCTGGTAAACAATTTTGCATGATCTCCTTTAGAACATTTGCTTCCTTTAAGACAGACTGTCTCTCCATTAAGAGTTTGAAGTGATAAGAAAATTTAATTAAAAAGTAAATATACCCAGTATATCAAACGGCACAGTTCTGAGACCGCCTGCATTATTTTAAACGAATCCTCGTAGACACCGCGCTCTCCTCCCGACGGGGGTGACTTGTTCGGGAGGACAGGTTGCCTGCTTCCCCGCGTGGGGGGGACGCGTCCCGCCTGCTCCTCCTTCCCCAAGGTGATGGCCGACGCCCGCTTCTATAAAAGTGACAGCAGGCCTCTTCTTTAAAAAACTAGTTATGAAAGACCGCTCCAGAAATAAAATCCTACAATCTCGTTTTAAATATTGCTTCCTTGCTCTCCGAGTTAACTTTTGGTCGGTTTTCTTTCTGTTTTAAAATTTAAATATCTTTATCACTGCGGCTATTTTGCTCCTGCAATTTATGATACGAATGCTGACTCGGACCTGCTCCTTCCTCAGACATAATTAAATCTGAGTTCATTCCATTGCCTTACTTTGGTATCTTACTGCATTTTATTATTTTCTTTTCTGTTTTTGTATATAAATACTAGTTTGCCCAGCCGGGCGTGGCTCAGCGGTTGAGTGTCGACCTAGGATCCAGGAGATCGCAGCTGGACTCCTGGGTGGGGCACAGGCCCGGGTTTCAGGCTCCATCCCTGGGTGGGGGCCTGCAGGAGGCAGCCGGTCAATGANCTGGACTCCTGGGTGGGGCACAGGCCCGGGTTTCAGGCTCCATCCCTGGGTGGGGGCCTGCAGGAGGCAGCCGGTCAGTGACTCATCACTGATGTTTCTCTCTCTTTCTCTCTCTCCCTTCCTCTCTCTGAAATCAATTAAGATATATTTTTAAAAACACACACATGAAATACCAAAAAAACTAGTTTGAATTTGTCTTTCAAACACTGCTCCCTCACGGTGTCTGCAGCTGGTGCACAGCTTTCAGAGCCATTAGTCCACCAAGAGCTGAACTGGGGGTGGGGCTCCTCCAGTTCTGTGATTACCAACAGCATCACCCCCTTTTTTTCCTAAGAGGGCCTTGAACTTGAGGAGGATACACCTTCATCCCAAAAATCTCATCACAGAACCACTTTCCACACTGCACTCTCATAATCTGTTCTAAACTGGGGCTTAAGGGCCCAAGGTAAACTTTTCTGAATAATTGGAAGACACAAAATTAGGCATTTTATTTAGAAATAAACTTTAAAATGAAGGAATTAGAAGATCATCCCTAGGGATCCAGGGGCATCGCTGCATTTCTTCACCTCTCCCCAGGCATCTGGGGGTGGGGGGCAGCGGAGCTGCACAAGCCTTTCCATCCAGGCTCCAGGGGCACATCCCACTCGGCTCTCAACAGCATCTTTGGAGAAGCTCGAAGCTGCAAAGCAGGTAAAGAGGAGGAAAGGAAGGGAAGTGGGAACAGGAAACACAAAAAAAACCCAAGTCTTTTCCAAAGTGGGTTTTGAAAAATATCTTGACTTTCAGAATGGGTAGAGGGCTGCTCCCAGAGCTTGTTAGGAAAACACGCCGGTCATTGGAAGCGGTCAAGCACCTTGCCAAGCCAGGAGGCCTCTGCGGACTCTCCCTGCCCACTATATGGCTCCTGTTCGTTTTAACCTTCCAGAGCCTCTCTCCCTTTACCTTTGCCTTTCATTCATGGCTAAAATGTAAATCACCTGGGTCTAGCTTATACTCCA